ACATAAACATATAATAATTTATAATATATGGATATGCTCTTTAAAATTATAATGTTGCATTTATGTTAGATATCTTAAATTATTTTTAAATATAATTTCATAATGTTGACTTTTTATTATAAATTCGATGTTGCCAATAATGCCTTGGACTATCTAAGTGCCCTAAGTGCCCTTATTATTGTTTTCATTGCAGTTATTGTCTTTCCATTTGCACCCGTGACATCCTATCAGCGCACTCCCACATTATTTTCCTTTTATTTTGTAAATAAAAAATACTAAAAATATTGGTTGTCTAATACTTACCACCCAATTAGGGGTGTAAAAGAACCGAATATGAACGAATAGAACTTATGTTCGTGTTCGGTTTGTTTGAAATTTAATTTGTTTGAAATAAAATTGTGTTCGAAATTATTGATGAAGTCACTGTTCATGTTCGTTTAATAACTAACGAGTCGAACACGAGCAGTTCTCTAACGACAAGCCAGTTTGACATTCCTAATATTAATATATATAAATAATATACTATATTAATTATATAACTTATATTATATAAATATATAATACCTATAATAGTATATTACTAATATAGTATATTAATATGTTATTATTATTAATTTATTATAGATTATAATTTATAAAATTTAATTTTTAAAAATATCATAAATTATATATATATAATTATTTTAAATTATTTTATATACGATTTGAACACGAACAAACGCATCACTGTTCGTGTTTGGTTCGTTTAACTAACCGAACGAAAAAAATTTGTTCACATTCGTCTCATTTATTTATCAAACGAATCAAACACAAATTCATTGACGAACCGAACACGAACTGTTCGCGAACAACGAGCTTTTTGGACAGCGCTACACCCAATTCTTATGTCTTTACTTGTCTAATACTTCAAATTTATCTTTTATTTTTATACCATCTAAATCTTTCATATCGCAAAAATATATCATCATTTTAATCTTTAAAAACCAAAATTTATAATTTTAAATATTAATTGAAGTTCAGGTGTTAGACATATAAATATAGAGTGGAATATGTAAATTTAAATATGTAAATATATAAGTATGATCAGACATGCATATAAATGCCTCATTATTAAATTATAAAGATGCCTAATTATTCATAGAAGCACTGGTCAACGGACGGCCGGCCCGACTTGGTGGTCAACTCACATAATTTGGCTGGTAACTATCATAATATAATATAATATAATATATTTGTGCACATATTATAATTTACGTTAACATAAAAATTAACTATTTAATAGCATGCCAAAATATTTTAAAATAAAATACAAACAGAAATAGCGCTACATAACAATTGAAATAACATATTTTATTTAAATCGTTAATAATTTAATTTTGAGTATTTATTTTTGTAGAAAATTTGGCTTTAAAGTGACCGCTAGTAGCTAGGGGTGTAAAAGAGCCGAACACGAGCGAGCTCAGGCTCTGCTACTATTCGGCCCGTTTATATTTTGAGCTTAAAAAGTGTGTTCGTGTTCGGCTCATTTGCTTAGCGAGCTGAACATAAGACGTTCAAGAACAAAATGTCGTTTTGACAACCCTAATCATGTAGCCATAAGATGTTAAGAATTGAGACAAGATTTAAAACATCATTTGAATCAAATTTAATAATTTTTGTTCTATTTTCTTAATTAAAAATTTTAATTGATTATAAATCATAGTAGCCTTATAACAATTATTTTTTTAAAAAAATACTACTCATCATATATATATATATATATATATATATATACATATAATTGATTTGTAGTATTTCGAGCCAAAACGAGCCGAACATAAACGAACAAATATTTGTTTGTGTTATTGTGTTCGGATCATTTATTTAGCGAACGAGCCGAACACGAGCTTCTTAATAACCCGAACACGAGTTGTCATGAACTACGAGTAATTTTGAAAGCTCTGAGCCCCAAATATTACATAAAAGTAGAAGCATTTTTAAGGATAAATCAATAATAATCAAGAATGAATATATATATAAATTATATATATATATGAAACTTAAAGATTCGTAATGATGATATATAAAAATTATAAAAACAATTATTTTGTTTGAAATCTATAATTCTTTTTTTTTTTCAATATAATGTGTATTAATAACAATAATACCCTCCTTATAGCCGTTGAAAAAATCAACACAATTATATTATTTTCTGTCGCTTTGCAAATGTTTGTTGTCAATCAATGAAAATTTATTATGTCGCATCTTATCAGCTCGAATGGTGTTATTATTTTTATGATTTTTTAATAATTGGCCCGATATAATATATATATATATAGGAGCATGA